TGGTTTTGTGTGGCCCAGCGAAGGTCTTTTGGTCTCTTCCTTTAAAGGTTGAGCTTTCGATGCAGGGCCTGCTGCGATCGCCGGTCTCTTGCCTTTCCTCCGTCGGACATCTGGGTTCTGAATAACACCATAGACCTCATTGTGTTCATCCTGAAGCCCACTCGTGAATAGAGCCCGAGTGATATCTGTTAATGCGACTAGGTCTTGTATTCGCGCAGGGGAAAGGCTGTAGATGTGTATGGATGTGATGGTCTCGTATTCTTCTTTTATTGCTAGCATCACCAATTAGCAGTCACTTTGGGTATTGAGTTGTCTGTAGCACACCTTCCAGAGACTCTTCTCTGACGAGAGTGACGGTTCGGACGGGTACATTCTTTGCCTCCTCCTCTTCAGCAGGGCTACTTTGCTGGCTGGGTTCAAGCATGGAGCTGGTGAATGGAGGCGGGCTTGAAGGGAGATCTTCGACTGGATCGCGGACCTGCGTGCCTCCTCTCGCCGTCCCATTCACGGACACGCTGACTGTCGGTGTCTTCTTGACCCCAGACAAAAGGTAGGTGGCATAGACCGACTGGGGTTTTTTCGCATTTTGGAATTCGTAAAACTCGTAGAGCATGCATTTCGCGGCATTGACGTGCACTTTCAGGGCGCGGGAGACGTTGCGGTAGGATATGGTTCGTTGTTCATTGAGAACCTCACTTGCCAGATACTTCTTGAAATCGTCAGCCGTAGCCATAGCAGTGTCCTTCGTACTTCAGTGGCGAGTGGGAGAAACAGTCTCAAGATCTGGGCCGGCGAAAATGAGGTTGACGTGACATGACGCGACTTCCCGCGGAGGACGCGTTGAGTGCTTTTCAGGATTTGGTCACTATGGACACGCCGCTTTAACCGCCACTCGGGCCTTAACTTTGCTTGCCACTTTGATGCGGCAACTTGCAGCTTTTGTGTCTGGAAATACCAGTTCTTGAACAACTGTAATCCCTCAATTACATTGGTCTAGATGGCCACTTAGCAGACTATTGGCTGGCTTGATCGTCCCCGTTCTGGGCATCTATATCCCACGTCGTTAGTGGCGTGAGACACGTCTTTCGCCATATTTCGCAATTTACCCTGGTTGGAGGCAAGAAAAGTAGTGAAATGACGAGCATTACATCCGTTCACTCTTCTTCGCATACATGCATCAAGGACCATGCCTGGATATTTGTCGCAATGGCCTGTGCACGTTATGATCTCCACGAGGCTGTGCGAATGTCGATCTGGATTTGTCGTCTGACAGAAATTCGTCACCCAGACAAGCCAGAACAGTCGAAATAATTCTGTCAGACAAATAAGTTAAATGTTCGTCCCGGATCGGAGCAGGAATTTGCCGAGGGATCCAAGCGGAAACAAAACCACTTACGTCCACCACATGGACTCTTTAAAAGACTACACAGGGAATCCTGGCTTTGTAGACGCTGAGGAAAAACCATCGGCGACAGCTCTTGTCATACTCACTCGATCCTCCCTGGAATGGACGAATCCGCCTCCCATAACCCAAGGGACGACCCGATCAGTCGAATCTTACTGGCATCCGTGGAGATATTGTCTTTGAGAAGATGAACACCCATGGTAAGTTTGAGGCCCCCTTGATACATGGGAGGTGTTTGTTTCTCAAGTGACTGATATTTCAGAGTCTCATGCGCGCTCGTGGGTGTGCTGCTTTTGTTCCAAGTCCTACCGCAGATCGTAAGTGCCCAAGATACCCCGAATTATGGGCGCTTTACCCTGCAAGATACTGCATTGTTTTGATCGGTCAATGGGTCCGGCATTCGCTTTTGCCGCTTGTCCATTTCTTCCACAAGATAATGATGCCTCTATAAGTCCCAATGTCTCTTTCCGAGCGACAGGACATCCACACGATTTGACAACCCTTTAGCCAACTTCCCCAGGATTGCCTCTTCAACTCTCCCAGTCTCTCTGAAGTGGATCCATCAGCCATTGACTGACGTTTCTTTAGTGATGTGCTTCGCCGGCATTACATCAACTGCCCATCCAGGGGTGAGCAACCTATTCCGGGGAAGCTGAAGAAAGGCAAAAAGACTCGAGCGTGCGACTCATGTGCACGCCTGAAATTGGGCTGTGATCTGGATTGTCCATGCGAAACTTGTCTCTCCTATGGCGTTCAATGCACATACACACGACTTTCGGAACTGCGGCGGCCACGGCCAGGAAGTGAACCTCCCTCCGTACCGGTTCAGGATGGACAGCGGCCTAGAAGCCACTCGGTCGCTACCGACGCAACCCAAGAGTCAAGGAACTATGGACGGCAAGATCGAAATAAGATTTCGTTGTCGTTTCTTCTCAACTATGTGAACCCGAACACCTCTATGGCAGATGCTTATGGTCCTGTTGCAGAAACAACCGCAACAGGAGGTGGGTCTACCATCCTACTAAGACATTAAACAAGTATCTAACAATATCGCAGCTTCTATGCCGAAAGCCGGCAGTGAGAACGCCACTGCAAGCGACTTCGGCACCTCTACTGCTACTGTGCAGTTGATTAATGACGAGTTTATCACGCCAGTCCACAATGATCGACTCGACGACTTTTTTGTGTCCTGTCTGTTTCCCGACTCGGAGGATTTCCAAGGTGTAGGAGAGGACACCAATTGGCCTTCGAATTGGCAAGTGTTGTGTCATCCGGATCCATTTGCCAGTTCTTCATGCGTCGAGCCCTTCAACTACTTGATAGACTCCTTGACCAGTTTCACACTCTCCCTCCCACAGGGACATCCTGAAAGCGCCCCAAATGACCGCTTGGCAAAGGCAGCGACTCTGTTTTCAAGAACCAACGTCGAACGATTTGTTGGACATTATTTTCGAGATTACTGTCCACATAGTCCGATTCTCCATCCCGGCACCTTCCGGGTGGCTACAGCATCACCCTTCTTACTCACAGTCCTTGTCCTCACTGGAGCTCTGTTCTCTTCTCAACCAAATGACATGGAGTTGGCAAGGGACATTCTCAACCTTGTGGTGGAATATGCTTTCAGTAACCCTAACTTCCGGAAGCTGTTCCACGGGCCCGATGCAGCAAAGGGGCTGGGCGAATTCGAGTCCTTGCAAGCGCTCGAAGCTGCATTTTTCATCACCCAAGTCCAGCTTCGGGAAGGGTGTCCATCTAGACGGCGAGACGCCCGAAAGTCGCGGTTTGAAGAGATAATAACTGCTGTTCGAAACCTAGGTCTATTGGAGACCCGGAACTCGTTCTTCGCAGCTGAACCACCGCCACCAGAAAAGTTTCAGTGGGCTGAGTTTGCCGCTCGTGAATCTAGAATTCGCCTTGTATGTGGCATCTTCCATCTGGATGCCAGCTTCACAGTTTTATACAACATGACACCCAGGTTGTTTGCGGAAGAGATGAACATTGGGATGCCAGGTTCTGTTGATGCGTTCTTTGCCGACAATGCTCAGGATTGTTATCGGCTTTCATCAAAGGAGCACGAGTTGCAAAGGATGACGCTTTCGCACCTATGTGACGTCTTCTTGCAGGACGAGTGGAGTGAGGAGATGCGCTATTCCATGCAACAGTTGTCGCTTCTACACCTCTGCAGTGTGATCATGGCGCTATCACAGATTCTATGGCTCTCTCCCTACCGACCTAGAAAGGAGGAAACAATGAGACGAATCAAGGAAGCACTGAGCCGGTGGAAAGCAGCCTGGGACTTTCAGAACGCCACCTTGACCACTCGACAACGCGACCGTTACGGATTTCTCAAGACGATTCCCTTTGAGTTTTGGCAGATTGCAACTGTACTGGTGGAGAAAAACAGTACCAGTTTGGATACCAAAATCACTCAAAATGCCATTGCTGCACTAAACCACAACCACACGGCACAAACCATGCTTGAGAGTGTCGATAAGGACAGAGATGAATCTCGCGTCGATGGATGGAGACTACTTGACTCCGGGGACCCTAGATAACCTCAAGCCTTTCGTGCAAAGGCTGCGGGAGGCCTGTGCTCTAGAAGGTCTTCCGACGACCGAGACAGGACTCTGTTGTGGATAGTCACACAGACTCCACCGAATATCTACGAAACGAACGACAAACGGGGGTATATAGATGAATGTACAACAGAAGTTGATGCCACATCACTAGAATGATGATGTCGCGTTACACCACTTGCCCCTTTTCGAGACCTCCCTCCAGAACAAATACTCGTGTGAAAACTCTCAGCAGAGAGTGGATCTTACAAATGAACCAGCAGCATCGTACTTTACCTGTATGTATCCAGGGATTCAACCCTACCGAATCGGCTTTGAAGTTCGCTGGGTACGCGAGGCTGTCACGGTTAAAAGCGGCAATGGCTTCTTCCACTTGGCGCCCAATTCATGTCGAGATTCATCTGAACAAGTGTCTTTCCCTCCCCCTCTGACGATAGTGTGTATACTTTTTCTTTTTCTTCTCGCGGCGCGCGGTAATCTCAGACAGCTCGGGTCAGCTCCGACTGCGGTTTAATATAGACGGGAGGAATTAGACCAAGGACCGGGATTCTAGGTAAGAAAGAATACGCCTGATGGTCTCCCAATGCCGAATCTTCTGCCCGTTGCCCCACCAGCACCAACATCGGGCCTTTCAGCCAGTGAAGCCATGTGTTACTAGAGATTGTTCCATATCCTTATTGAAAGGGACTGCTTCTGGCGGATCTGATGCTACAACTGACAGAGTTTCTGACCCGGCTAATGCTTTTCAATAGTGAAATAGGTCGTTACGCCTCTTTCTTGTTGATTATAGACATCTGTACATATCTAGACGGTTTGTGCATATAGGGAGCGATTTGGAACCAGGGTCGAGATTTGTCTCCAGGTTGGACTCCCCTGAAAATCATCAGCCTCGGCCTTACCATCCGACGAGGATACAGGGCCCTTCAAATCTATACCAGTCTGTCTCCTCCCTCCGAGCGAGACAAAAATAAAAGGGCGACCTTGACGAGGTGGAGAAGGTCAGGGGAGGCAAAGCAAAAATGGAATTCGCTGGTCCAGAACCAGAAGTCCCGTGGGATATCGAGGGAGAGGTTCCCGTGCTACGAAGCGACCCTTACCTCGTCGACTTCACCCAGCTGGGAGACCAGATCTATTTCTACGCCACTCCTGCGGAAGCATCGAAAACAGAGATCGATGGCCACGCTGGAACCCCGGGTGGAGAACAACAGCAGCAGCAGCCCCAAGAGCAAGAAGAGAAACCACCGGTCGCCGACCCAGACCTGATCATCGTCTGCTCGTGGATGTACGCCCAGTCGCGCAATATTGTCAAATACACCAAGCAGTATCAGACGCGGTATCCGTCGTCGCCGATCCTGCTCCTGCGACAAGACGGGGGGGACTTCTTCTTCCGCACGCAGGCCCAGCAGATGCGGAACCTGGAGCCGGCGGTGTCGCTGATTCGGGATCTCGAGGCGGCGGCGGCGGCGGCGACGGCGACAAAGATGAAGGAAACGACGGGGAAAGAAACTGGTGGTGAGAGAGAGAAGGAGTTCAAGGTCCTGATGCACATCTTCTCCAACGGCGGCGCGTGGAGCGCGTGTCAACTTGCAGATGCGTATCACCATTACCACTGCCAGTCCCAACACCAGCACCAGCGGGCGCAACAGCATGACCTGTCAACAGCAGCAGCAACCGCCGTGCTCTCCTCTTCCGACGAAGCACCCCACCACCACCACCACCTCCTCCTCCCCATCACCGCCCTCATACTAGACAGCACGCCCTCCCTCCCAGACCCGACGCCGCCCACACCGCCATCTGCGAAGCCCTGCCCAAATCGCCCGCGGTGGTACGCGCGCTCGGCAGCGCCCTAGTATGGGGATACCTGGGCGTCACACACGCAGTGGAAGTCGTGACGGGGCACGAGAACGTGACGCTGTCGCTGCGGCGCCGGCTCAACGACCCACGCGGCGCTTTCTGTCGCTGTCACCGCGCCTACATCTACAGCCAGGCCGACGCGCTCATTCCGGGGCCAGACGTGGAATCGCACGCCCGCGAGGCTGCGCAGGTTCTGCCTGGTGGTCCCGACATGGTGCGGCTCGAGGATTTTGTCGTCTCGCGCCACGTCGGGCACGTCTTGGCCGATCCCGTCAGGTACTGGGCCATTGTCGCCTCGGTTTGGGAAGAGGCGACGCGGTAGGACAATGTCTGGCTATCTACCTGTCTGCTTGCCTAGCTGCTCTCGGTCACTGACTCACTGACTTGCTCACCACCTAGGTAATCCTAGGCAATGGACTGAGATAATTAACTGATCAGGAACCTCATCTAATCTGGTGGCTAAAGAGAGGGCTGAGAAGGGTGATCGTGCATGATTGGAGTTTTGAATATATGGATAATATTGGATTTCTCCAGATCAACTGATCTACATACATACATACATACATACATACATACATACATACATACATACATACATACATACATACATACATACATACATACATACATACATACAT